TTGATTAATTTTGGATGTTGAGATGTCCAGCCGCACGGTCCCTATTGTGGCTGGGCGTCCTTGTTTTCCTGCATGCTTGTACTCCTAAGTCTTGTTGTTTGAGGCTTCTCTTTCTTCCGACAATCTACAGCTTTATGGCCCGCTTCTCCGCAATATAAACACAAGTTTTGTTCAAACTGTCGCTTCCTTTCCTCAGCTGTGAGGGGTTTGAAACGTACCGCATTAATTTGCATGGGTTCAGGATCTATGGAGTGATTCTCTGGACCTTTTGAAAATGTAGCAAATGCTCCATCATTTCTCCAGCCTGATCGTCTTTCTTGTCGTAATTCAAAGAGGCGGTTGTCACAAATAATTGCCTGAGATATAAGTTCTTCTAAAGTATCCGCCTTAGGCATGGTGATCAATAAGTTCTTGACATCATCTCTCAGTCCATATCGAAATCGTGTCATGAACGTCTTATCATTCCAATCAAGATCACATGTAAGCTGTTGAAATTCTGCAGTATAGATTGCAGCAGAATGTGATCCTTGTCGCAGATTTTGTATCTTTCTTTCAGCCACTCTTTCTCGATCGCTATCTCCAAACGCAGCAGTAAGTCTCTCTATGAAAGCCTCTAGGTCGTACAATATTGGAGAATCCTTCTCCAATAGTGGAGCAAACCAAGAGCGAGCATTTCCTGATAGAAGAGTACCTATGAAAGCAACCTGGATAAATCCATTCGGATAACGAGAAGGATATAGGCGTAGATAAAGCCGTACTTGTTGCACAAAACCTCGAAAGTTGGCTCTTGTTCCGTCAAACTTGTCTGGCATACTCGCTTTTGGTTCTTTTGTACTAATCCTTGAAGTATCTATAGGGGTCGTATGTGACACATGTCTTGCTTCTCTTAGTCGAATAATCTCTTGTTGTAGGCTATGAATTTCGCGTCTAGCTTCTTCGGTCACTAGATCAATTTGAGGTTCTTTACTTGGATTGCGAAGAAATGCAATCTCCTTTCGTACACTATTCATAAGAGCTTGAAGATCTGCAAGAGTTGCCACTCTATTGTCTACTTGTGGAGATGCACTGTCTATGACCTGGTCTACTTCCATATTTAGAGAATAGATGGAAAAATTTTGAGAGAAGAAGAAATTGCTAAGTCTCTTGGAGAAAATTGTAGCACTACCTGTCACCTACTCGGAGAAAAAAAAAAAAAAAAAAACACTAAACGATTTCAGTTTTAGAGGAGGGTAATCCACAACATCTAAAAATGCCTCAATGCTTTCGAGAAGAGGGGTAATCCGCACTCTATCAAGAAGGCAAACCTCTGAAATCGATGTTAAAAGTCTTTTCTACTAGCTATGCTAAACAAAAAGAAGGAATTAATATCAGTCCAAGAGAGGGTAATCCGCAACCCTTAGAACGCTCAAGTATCTCCAAGGAAAGGGGTAGTCAACTCTCTGCCTCAAAGAACTAAGCTCTGATATTGTGATTGAGAAAATATCAGTTTAGAGGAGGGTAATCCGCAACCTCTAAAAAAATGCTAATATACCTTCAAGTAGAGGGGTAATCCACACTCTACTAAGAAAGAACTAGCTCTGATATCTCAAGTTAGTGTAGTCTCGACAAACTGTCACGGACACAAAATACAGACTTGAAATCTAATAAGAAGTTCAAGAAGAAGTGGCAGAACTAGATTAAACAGATGAGTACAAGAACAACACTAGAAAGGTGAGCTAGAACTCCAAGAGATGTGTTGTCGAGACTGAAGAACTCTTCAGCCTCGACTCCTATATATACTACTGGCCTATGGTTCTAAGGAAGCGCATCAAGAAGCTTCCCAAGAACTGTGAAGCTTCTCGAGCAACTACCCAAGAGCTAGGAAGCTTCTTAAGTAACTTCCTAGAATCTACTAGAATATTCTAAGAATCTTCTAGAATCTTCTAAGGGAATCTTTAGGGAATCTTCAAAGAATCTTTAGGGAATCTTTGAAGAATATTCTAAGAAAATATTCAAGGAATCTTTTGGAAGTTTCTAGAGACTTCTTTCTAGAAGGTTCTAGAAACTTGTCTCTAGAAAGGTCTAAGGACTATGTCCCTAACACTTGTACAGAGTGCTATAAATTATATTTAAGCTAAAAAAAACATTAATAATATTGATAATAAAAAGTATATAATCAATTGAAAGAAAAAGAATTAAATAAAAATATTAAAATATAAAATTTTTAGAATTTTTCAAAATTAATAATCCATTAACTTATTTTAAATTATTTGTAAAAAAATATATTCAAAATTAATTCTATTTTTTTTTCTTGAAGAAAAATATAATAAAATATTATAAACTCATACAAGTATAAAATACCACTCATACAAATACAAATAGAAGTTCTATCTTTCATTAAGCTTCATGTTTATTATTTTTAAGTCTCAAAATTTAATATTATTCTAGAAATTAAAAAAATAGAATTATCATAGAAGATCATTTTTTTTTTTTTTTTTTTTTTTTTTTATGATGTTGATATCAAAAATCATAGGAAAGATAGAATTTTTTTTGAAATATGTTTTTTTCATTTCTTTATTTTTTTACCATCCAAAGAGAAATTGAGTAAATTTCTTTAAATCTACTATATTATTTTATAATCATTAAGTTAGATGTAGGTATTGCAAGGATTTTTTATAGTATAAGATTAATAAATTTTTCTAAATTTCCTAAATTCATATAGAGATAAAGATACTAATATGATGTTACATTATCTTAAAGCATGACATGTGGTAGTATCTTAATATTATTATTAATTATACATAATAACTAAGAAGTTAATAAAAGTTCAGTAGTAAAAGCATTCTAACATTTGTTTAATAATACAATCATTTACATTATAGTGTTGAAACTCATTTATTAGGTGAAAGAATGGATGAAAAATAAAACATGTAGAATGGACTTAATTGCAAAGATTTTTTTTTTTAAATCATAACTACTAGATTAACTATTATCAAAATTTTAATTTTTTATTCAATCTTTATTATAAAAACAACTTCTACTTAATTTGTAGGACTATCAATACATTAAATTAAGATGGAATAAGCATACAACCTATTTAATTATTTTTAGATTAAATTTTTAAATAAAATTTTATAAAAATTACCATAAAAAGACTAGATTGATATTAGAGGAGGACCATTTGTACGACAAGGTTAAAATCAAATCCATGCACATAAAAACAAGCATACAATATTAAAGAAAGGAGAGAGGGGGTTCTTTTGGAGATTAAGTGTGAGATTAGAAGAAAGATTTTTAGATCTTTCTAAGAGTAGAAGATTTGTAGGATTTTAATGTAGATAAACTCTAATATGAGAGAAGAAAATATAAGTTTTAAAAGCATTGTAGTTTAAAAGCTGAAATAGGCTATGGTGATTTTTTGTTAGGTTTTTGAAAATCTAATAATGATATATGATTTAATTTTTATGCATATAGTATTGTGCAAGTAAGAAAAGAAGTTCTTGATTTGTTGTGAAGTTCAATGGTTTATTTGTACAATATTGGTTAGCAAATATATAGAGTATTAAAAAAGTACAATTGAAGTTACCTACTCTTTTTTAAAATCTAATGGTCAAATCATTGTAAAAGTGGATATTTTAAGACATTGAATAAATTTGCAATATTGAAGCTACACACAAAGTTTAAGCAAAATTTAATGGCTAAATTGCAAGAATTTTCTATTAGTATTCATCTTCAATCTAAAATAGGAGAGTTAAGTATCATGAGTAGAAAATTTAGTACTTTATCTTTATAATGCAAATCTAATCTATATCAAATTTTGTAACCTTATCCAATATTAATTTATGAAGTAGTTTGTAAAATTTATTTTCAGTCCAACATTGCAATTAGGAGTTGTAATTTATTCAAGTTGCTACTTAAAATTAAAATTTTCTTAATATTTTTTTCATGGTTTATAAAATTTAGTTACAGTTTCTTTAAGATTTGATTAGGATTTTGTTCATATTTATTTATAGTTTAATTACAATATGTTTAGATTTGCTTAAGAGTTTAATGGAGATCGTTCAAGATTTCTTTATTAATTTCTTAGGATTTATTTAAGATTTGTCTAAAGTTGATAGAACAATGTGTTATAATCTAAGTAATATTTTATAGAAATAACTTATCAGTTTAGTTTTAAATATACACAATCATAGCTTTTAATTGCTCATCTATCACCATCATTCATATGTACCTTTAAATCAACAAACATTCTTATTAAAGTTGTAACTAGCTTAGTACTTCTCTTCATGACTGATCATATCTGGATTATGCTAATTGAACAAGTCAACTACACCAAAAACATTCGTTTATATATATTTATAAATATATATATATATATATATATATGTATATTTCTTCCGTCAATTTACAAAGCTTAGAGAAGAATGTTGGATTTTTTATTGAAACCTTGAAAATGATATGCAAAAGTACATGTACTACATCCCATAAGCCTCTGAAGCTTGGAACATTTTAAGGATGCGAGACCTTCAAGTTCTACTCGTTATACCTTAATTATCTCGGTATATAGCAAAATTATGTTACACACAAGATCAACTGGAAATCATGAGCGGCTGATTGATGAAATAGTTCGGCCATTTTTGTTCACTTTTCTAACATTTTGAGTATTGCACACAGGTAAGGTAACAAGTCTGTAAAACTCGAGCATAAGCAAGAGGGACAGGCCATCAAGTTGCACCAAGTTCAGCATTGACATTGGCATGCAGGCATTCCCTGCTCAGTAATTTAAGTGACTAGCAAAGGAACTGCATCTGCGACACACAAATGGGTCAGTGTGTTGACAAGAAAACGAACTCACACCATATCAGGAGGACAAACACCCTCACAAAATTTCAATTCAAACTATCGCAATATGAGCCTCACGTAGGGGTCAAACCTCTAAGTAGAATGTCACAGGGTAGGAAAGATCAACCTCACATAAGATTATGTAGAAATTCGACAAACAATGACCTTGTGAAATGATGTACGTCAGCAGGGAAGCTCCAATTGCTTCTAAATAGCGGATGAGCATACTTTATTGAAGCAAAGTGCTCACAGGATGTACAGTCACCCAATGGGCTTCAAAGGTATCAATGCTGTACAAGCCCTCACACTGGGAAACTTCCGACGAACGCCCCGCCGAAATGAGGAAAAAATTGTACTTTCACATGGGCTTTCTGACTCACTACTCTAATCAGAACCCTTTTAATATCTGCGATAATCCGCTGAGGTTTAACTGCAACCCCCTGCATGTAAAGGGGTCAAGAAACTCATCCAGTCGTAAAAATATGCTAGATGAAAATTTCAACTCCTAGTTTGACTAGAAGAAAGCTGGGAAATAAACAAATAAAAAAATAAAATAAAAAAATCCAGGTAACTTAATAAGCTCCAATTGTGGAGTCTTTGTATGTGAGCATGCTCTGCTCCAACGGAGTGTACAAAGAGCACAGAAATTCACAAACAGCCAGAAATCTTCGATATCAACTGATGGCACATGGTCCTAGATTATGTCACGATATTCAGTAGGTTGGCATTTTGTTATGGCACTCCACCCCACAGCAGCATTGTACACCTTCAACGAATTGAACAAAAGGTATGATGGTTTAGGAGGCGGCACTTAAGTAAAACGCTTGAATCCTCTCTTCTTCAGCATACAGGAAAGGCCGCTTTCGCCCATACATACTCGCTCCACTCCTCATTCGCCCAAATAACGTCAACGTTCCCATATTGTTTAGGAACATAGTCGTGGGGTAGATGATCATGTGCTAATTCTCTGGCCAAGATATGGGCTTCAGACTACAATTCATGCATATGCACAGTAAAATGCCTGTAGATTTGTAACATCCTATGTACGTGTACCCAGTCCCATTTTCATGGTTTCGGTCACATCAGGGACGCTCCATCCGGCCCTTTTAAGTGAAGTAGAGAGTAACTCCACTTCCCTGGCCAAGGAAACCAGAACTGCCTGCATACATTAAAGGATCTCTATGAATGAGTGAAGTGATAAAGTAGAATCTTTTTCTTTCAACTGATTAGTTTTGCTTCTCAGATTCTGGATAGCGAACAGCTGAGATACTAATTACTTGTTTTCGAGGTCATTTTCAGGTAACCCTCAGGTAAGGCACAACCTAATCGAACACCTCCATATACAAAGAGAATAGGGAAGAGAAGTAAAAGGTTCAATAGAAGGCTCATATTTCTCATGAAGTCTTGACAAACAGTACAAGGAGGCCAATGACAGCATACGGGTGCAGACAATGTAAAAGCCAGACAGAGTCGAGGCATAACGCAACGGTCTCTCACCTCCGAATCGTGCTGCTGGTTCCAGCGCTTTGATGGAGATTCTGAAACGATCATGTCGTTTATATCATCCTCGCGCCAACCGCCCTGCCGAAGAACCAGAGATATTTCGTCCAAGTATACGTTTAACCACTTCGACGGCTTGATTCCATCCTGTTCTTCGAGATTCTCATTCGTGGAATCAGTCCTTGGCTTCAATAAATTGAAATCCTGTCTTCGAGGTGAAGAGAAACCTTCAACTCGTGAAAAAATTTGCTTATGCACCTTATCAGCGAGATCGCTCCAAAATTCGATACGTCGAGGAGTTCGAGCATCCTCTGGAGCCATACAAACATTCTCCAAAACCTTTAGAGGAAGGGCCTTCTCGACGATGTGAGAATACCGCAGAATGTCATCGTAGCTCCCAAAACCTTGTGGAGTGTGAGTATCTTGTGGTTGCCTATCAAAACCTCTTGAAAAGCTTAGCTGCCGGCCTCCACCTTCATTCTGAAGATTTCTCTTGAGCGGGCTCACCAAGAACTCAGTCTTCTTGGCAAGAACGTCCAGACTTCGACCCCAAGATTCTCCTTCGCTGCTAGAACTCCCAGACCCTGACGCCTCTGAAACATCTGTCCCTGATGAAGAGTGCGAGCTACGGTGCACAGGCTCAAAATCGACATCCCTATTAGCATGTTCTAGAGCGCCACCTTCAATACTTTTCTCATTTCTGAAACTTCCCATGTCATACATTAAATCACCGAACTCAAATTTGTGTGAGAGGAAAGCTTCACGATTAAAAAAGTCTGCGACATCGTACCCACAGTAGACAGCATTTTTCTGGTAAACAAAGAAAACAGGATTGCCGGCGAGATTTGGCGAAGACGGGATATAACAGTGACCATACATAGGGACGAGAATTGGAGACTTTCGTATAGCAGAACGCGCAATCCTGACAGCTTGATTAATGTCCTTAGGTCTAGGACCCCATGCTTTCCACCAGAAACTTGAATTGGCGACTTCACGCAAAAGCCCAACTACGGGTAGGTTGATGCGCATACTAAGATGGTCACGGTTACCAGCTCGCCAGTTGGGAAAGCCCGCCCCCACAGGAAGACCCTCATGGAGTATCCCTTTCAAGTCTGGCGGAAATGTGATTCCATATGTTGCTTCGATCCTCTCAAACTCTTCGTCGGAGAGGCCTTCAGCTATGGGAACTTTGCACTTCTTCAGTTTGTCAAGGACGCTTCGGGCATAAGCAGAGAAGGAGAAGAAGACTCGGCGGGTGCCTGGTGGAGTAATGGGCCCTGCGCTTGCACGGGCCGATAGACGTTTGAGACCTGCGAGCTGCGCTTGATGATGCTTCGCAGGCGTTCCGCTTCTCAATGGATCCAATGGCACTTGCTCCGTGGTATCCAACATCTTTGTTGGAGTACCTCAGCCGGAGTCACTGAATTCCTCGCCAAAATCTTAAAAGATGTATAGAGATCTAAAACGGCTTGCTACAGCACTGAAAGAAGTGCATAGGAAATGTACTAGACTTTCAACATCGTTGCTACTCCAGTCCACGAAAACCGAACCTTGAGAACTTTCAGCCCATCTTGGGTAACTTTAGACCAAAGCTCTGTAGTAGTGAATCTCCTCTGTAAATATCCACAAGAGACACATCCCTATCCGCAGCTCCTGAAAGGTTCTAGTACCCGCTACTATACATGCTGCGCTCCGCCATTTCCAAGGTACTGCCGCAAAAATTCTTCAACACGGACAGGAATTGGAATCTAAAAATGCATCAGCGGCGAAACGAAACCATCAATCCTCGGTCGAATAAACGCCAATGAACATAGACATTGTCAAGAATGTCAAAAAACTCCGAAGCTGAGGGCAGTGCGTCCATTTGGACAACAGCGACCATCTGCAGCACCCGAAGCTCTTTGCCACACCTTCGGACAACTCCCCCCTTCACAGCTTATTCGAAAGAAGCAGCAAGTAAAGCATTGAACCGCCAGATAGCCAAATCTCCGCTGCACCTCGACAACAACCATTGACAACTCCGCAAAAACTCCTCCCCAATCAACAACCTACGGCCACACGCATTGTCTCGACCACGGAAAACAGCGCAACGCACGTGAAACAAGCAATCTCTAGCAGCAATCAGTCAACACTCAAACTCCACCCCGTCAAATCACGAAATCGAGCACGAATTTCCACACTGCATTGATTTCAGCAATGCCAGACGCGGCCCTCCCCTCCCCTCGTGACCCCCTGCCCATTCAATTCCACAACCACGATAAATTTCTCACTTCTTCCACACACCATTCCACCTCCTAACAATGGAGCCAAAACCTAAGCTGCACTTCTCAGCTCAGCGCGCGCACAGCCAGCAACAAAGAACTCAACACAACAAAGTCCTCTCAACATAGCAAAGAAGGTCCAAAAAATGGTCGCTAAAGGCTCCGATCCAAGCATATTTCATATCTTCTGAACCACGACGAATTAAAATATCCGCTACCGATACCCGGTGCCTTATTAGCGAACGTTGCGAGGAGCAAGAGACGATCGAAGCTGAAGCTGGAGCTGCAACGGAGCGAGAGCCGATGGTGTAGGAAAACAGCGCGAAGCACGTCAATGCCATGACCACAAGACACGGCGGGCAAGTTACAAATTGGGAACAACTTGCATGCACACAAGGGAACTTCAATGGGAACTCTGGAGAACGCAACGAACGGCTCCATTCTAATCCTCACATCACCATACTCATCTGAGACTAATGCGCTTCATTAATGAGAGTTAAGAGGGGACGAGTTCGGACCCCGATCGCCGTGGAATGATCCGACGTGGAGTGCATATTCTTCTCATTGATGAATTGTCAAGCCCCGGCGTCTGCGTGGACTGTGCGACCCACAGACAGCGTGGCACGAACGTTCGATGATGTGGCTGGATGAATGAATAATCGCCGGAACCAAGCGTGTCTGTTCATCGTTTTATGGATGATAGGCGTTGAAGAATAATGGTGGAAATCTCTACAGTTCAATATCCATTACAGTAAGGCCCCTCAACTCTCTTCATGATTTTTTTATTTTTTATGTTTGTATGTATGCGTTGAAAGAAAAATATCAAAAAAAAATGGATATGTAATGAATTGTTACTGACACAGTGAGCAGAGAATTTTTATCTTTATTTTTAATGCTTTGGATGCTTCTGAAGGAATTGCAACCAAGTAACCACACACAGTTCCCAATCATAAATGCTTAATGACCCCAACTGGAAGAAACCAGAGAGGACCCATAACCCTAATTTCGTGCACAAAGAAATGCTTTTTCCTTTTACTAATTTGAGAGTTTTAGAAGCTCCAATATCATGAAGTTCTGATTAGTTCTACACATAACCTTTCCAACTGGAAATGAAGGAAATGAAATCCAGGGCTGTGGCAAGTCCTAGTTCAATGTACAAGCCACTGGAGCAGTGATGTATGTACCTGCCTGCCACTGTCCTCTCTTTCCTACCCACATGACCAATACAAAAAAAAATATATATATATATATAAAATGAGAAATTTTTGTTGATACCTTAATAAATTGTATAAAAAAATGATAAAATTGGTTCCTTCTGCAGAACCCAATTATGGGGTTGAGGAAATGGGGGAAATGGGCTCCTCCCTTCCATGGAAGCACCCCCTCATTCACACCAACACCCACATCCAACATGGTGGACAGTTCCGCAACAACATGGGGTCATAATATGGCAGAATCTGTGTGGTGTATTCGCACCCTCCTGTGTCAGGTTCCAAATGTAATGTGCCCCTTCAGGGCCAGAAACTTCCAGAAGGATGTACAATGAGGGGCAAAATAGAATAAAATAAAAGAAGAGCTTACTAAGACTCAGCGTTCCAATGCATTGAGTCCCATCTCTCCACCATGCAATACAATTCTCTGAACATGAAATGGCACCTATTTTTCTTGTCTTTTTTTGGGTGATGGTGGTGATGATCATGATATTAATAATGAGTTGTGGAGTCTTGTGAACAAGTTGAGTCTTGCGTTTGTTACACAAATCCATGTATCATCTAATTTTGTTCTTGATTTTTAGTTTTTTTTGGTTTTTCTTGTATATGTAATAATGAAATTCTTTAAAATTAGAATATGTGTGTATTGGAACTTTTTTTGGGGGGGGGATGTATGTGGGAAGTGTTTAGGCAATGAAAGGAGAGTGTCCACCCAACAATTCCCTTAATAAATGTGGTCCTAAAGATATGTCAACAAAAGAAAATTCAAATTATTAATGAGATTGTGGGGTTTGGATGTCAAAATTATCTTAAAGTTGCTATTACTTATTGAAGATATGTCACACATTTTTATTTTTATTTTCATGTTTGGTTTATTCATGTGTTTTTAAATGAAAAGTTTTCTTAATAGTATAGTGTGTCATAATGATGAACTCAAGCATGAGCCAAAAAGACAATGGTCCACAAAACTGGATATATGATGTGATGTAACAATCAACACTTTTCTTTTTTGTCTTTTTTGTCTTTTTTTTCATCTTTAATTTATTTTATTTTATTTTAGAGGCAATTAACCAACAACAGGATGTGCTTTGAAACTCAACCAATATTACAAATTAAAATATAGAAAAAAACAATCCTTTCTTTATGGTTTACTAATACTGATTTATTCTACAAGCACTTTTACTTGTTCAGGTACTTGATTGATCTTGCATTTTTGTCAAAGTGATGAATCCATGTTCATAATGAATTCTTCAATGTTATTATTCTCCTTTTACTTACTTATTTAATTATTTACATTTCTGATTTAAGACATGGCTCTGAAAGTCTTTGATATCATGCTCTGACAAGATTACTCTTAAATGTAATATTCTAACTGAGAAAAGCTTAACCATCCCTAAAGATTCAACAATCAATTAAATCTGTTACAAAAATAAATTCATGATACAGCGTACACACCAATTTCAACTTTGATGCACAGATTTATGACATGACATGATACATGTATTGCATGAGGAAGTAAAGAAAAACTAACTAACTAAATAAATAAATAAATAAATAAATAAATAAGCATCTCAAAGGCACATTATTTTACTGCTAAAGCATTAAACAAGAATGACCCACATGGAAAACACCCATTTCATTTCATCCTCTTTTCATTCCATAGTTTTCAAAAATACAAAGTGAATTTTGTGTACTGAAAACAGGACGAGATCCAAACAGCTTAGCAATCACAAGTTCTCTCACGAGTTGCACGGAGAAAGGTACCCGTACCCGAGAAAGCCGAGAAGAACACATCAATCCATAAGGACTATGCAAATCTTATGCAACCATTTCCCATGTTATGGAACTGTTGGAATCTTCTAGAAAAGATATCTCGGGGGTGATTTTGGTGTCTTCATTTTGTTTGTTGTGTGATAAGTTGTGAATGATCAAATTGGAGTTCAACCAAAGTTTAGTGGGATTTATGAAGAACACATTTGATATATATATATATATATATATATATATTAAATTGATCCACCTATTCTAACCATCAAGGGAAAAAAATGACCTTTATGTTTATTTTTTTATTATTGGATTCAAGTCTAATGAAAACCAACCACATTCTTCATGATTATCATATTCTTCATTATGGATAGGTTGATTTAGTAAAAAGCTGGGTCTATTTAATATTTTCATATATATCTATATACCTCCATTTCTATTGCAATTTTTGTTCCTCAATTACTAACTTGTTTGTTGTGAGAATGGAATTTTTTTGTTGAAAACAAATTGTGGTACATTTTACTCTTTGAATGAGTATCAAGAACAAAGACTCGATGAGGGAAAATATACACCAAAAGGCTATCTCGATATAATAAGTCAAAATATAAACAAGTAGGTATATTAAAAGGAAACTGGAATGGCTATTGCCACAGGACAAGAAACTAAAGACTCTTGAACCTGGACTAGAAGCAAGAAAGGAGTTGACAAGAGTGAAGAAGCCTTCACTCTTGTCTCTATATATACTATCTAACTAGGGGCTACGTGGCGACGTTCTATAGGACCTTTAATATGTGTTGACTTTGTAGGACACATGCCTTGACTTACAAGGCAAGTTTTTCTACGTGTGGGCCACATAGTTAGCTTGATCTTCAAGCTAACAACATGTGTGGCACATGGCCAACTTGTTGACCACGTTTCTAATCCAAAAAGTCAATTAAAGACACCTATGAAGTCAAAGCAGCGTCTAGGAAGTTTCTAGGAAGCTTCTATATTAAATATTATAGAATTAGCTTACTTTTATCTACTTTTACTTACTTCTACCTATTTCTATATGTAATTATTAGCTTACATGATTATGGCCGTGACATTACCCCCCCTTCTAGAGACGAGTTCTACGAGGAGCGGTCATCATATGTTGAGGAAATCTATGATGCGACGAATTGTATTCGCCACATACTCTGATCTCTGTTCTCTTCGAAGATGATTGATAGGGCCTCTCAACCATCGGTAGTGTCCTATACCAGGGCGGGAAGACCACCCAGTTATTTGATCATTGTTGAGGCCTTCGTAACTTCCTTCGAATAGAATATTTGGAACACCATCAGGAGTTGTTCCTACCTCTAGCAAAATCACCAAACATCGAGAGTCCCTTTCCAAATCGTGATACCAAACGTGTTGTATCTCACCATCTATTCGAGGAAGAACATGTCATTCTTGAAGATCTTCATCTCGATTGCGTCGTCTTGAAGGTTGTGACAATCGTAATGTCTCATCAGGCAGGTCAGCAAACGAAGGTTTTTGAGTTGAATCCGCCGGTTGTTGGCTCTCCATCTAATTAGCGTTACAAATGCAAAGAAGTTACAAACAAGGATAGGAAATTGAATGTTATCTTGCCTCAATCTTGTCTCTTTTATAAGAGAGATTTTCATCTTGGTTTCGATGGATGTCATTGATGAAAAACTTTGACTTTAGCTGATGCATTTGCTAGATTCCTGGATGGCTCCCATGTGCGTTCACTAATATCATATCCGCACCAATGAACAAGATATTCTACCTTATTTCGACGCCGCCTTGAGTCTAATATCTCTTCCACCTCAAATTCTTCATTATTATCTACTTCTATAGGAGGCGGTGGCATTTGTCTTCTTCCTCGTATATCCACTGTCTTATATGGTTCAAGAAGAGACATGTGGAATACATGATGGATCTTCATTGACTCCGATAGATGTAACCGATACACAACTGGGTTGATCTGTTCAGAAACAGAAAAGGGGCCAAGCCTACGATAGTCCAACTTGTCACAAGGTCGAGTAGTCTTGATATTGCGACGAAGTAGCCATACCTTATCATCCACATTGATTTGTGGTTGCTCTTTACAATATAGATCTGCGTTTACCTTTTGTCGTTCTTGAGCTTCCTTCAATTGCATCTTCATTATTGCATGTAACTCTGACAACCGATTTGCCATATCTTCTGCTGCAGGATTATCAACTTTTGAAAAATCAAAAGTATCAAGTCATGGATGATAGCCATAATTGGCAAAGAAAGGTGTTTGTTGCGTGGAAGAATGTACCGTATTATTATAAGCAAACTCTGCCAATGGCAGAAGGGTTATCCAATCATCTTGTTGGTAGTTGATAGTACACCTTAAATATTGCTCCAAGACTTGGTTTACGCGCTCTGTTTGTCCATCAGTTTGAGGATGGAAAGCCGAAAATAGCTTTATGTCCACTTTTAAAATCTTGAAAAGGGTCCTCCA